TAATTTATTTTACAGAGCAAGTCAGAGTCTAAGGAAATTGTGTAGCAGCATGTTTTACTGTACAAGGAGACCTGACTGTGGGTCTCTGTTTCCTCTCCCTGGAGTGGCAGTGGCTGAATACCAGTATTTTCACTCCCAGATTTTTGGCAGAGCTCGAAGATAATGTCTTTAAAAGGTGTGCAGAAAGCTTTTAATTGTATTTCTGAAAAGAGAAAGCAAGAGCTGATGGATTGCAGAGAACATAACCCAAAGGTGAGTTACCACCCTCAGTTCAGAAAGACAGGAGCTAAAGCCAGTCCTGAACTGCAAAGCTTTTCTTGTGACCTTGCTATACCACTACGAGCTCCTTGTTTCAGAGTTATATAAAATGAGATATTAAATTATTGAAAGATGACAGCTGACTTTGCTCATCACGGCAGACTGCAGCAAGCAATTAAAATGACTTTCAAGCTGGAAAGTGATTCTTGTCTTCACGTGGGAGTGACAGTCACTGGTTGTCACGACGAAACCGTTTTCATGCAGAGTCTAATTTTGTGAGGCAAGACACTGCAGAAGTAGAGGGCTGTGAAAACAGAGCTCAGGTCGTTCTGTAGATTTATACTGATTTGGAAAGAGATACGACTGAAGGATGTCAACTTGAGGGAAAGGATGGAAAGGTAAACAATAAAGGAGAAGCATTAATATAAATCTGTTTGGTACAAGGGGACATAATAAATACAATTATGACTTTATTGCACCCATAAAAGGTTGGTTTCTTACTGAGCAGAGGGCTGTGAGCTGGGAAGTGTTAATCTGAAAAGGATGGTGACCATCTTAGTTAAATGCCATTTCCCTGTGCTGCAGCTAAAACGGTGAGATGATTCATGGAGGGAGGAACAGGGATATACAATAAGAGGTGGGTTATATTCTTATTAACTGAATCAGTAACACCATGACAGTAATATTGCCATCGTTTTTGTTGTCTCCTAAAATCGGTGCTGGAAAGGGTTTTTAAAGCATTTGAAGTTTGTTTGATACAGTCGTGAGCTGTACGAGACGTTCAGTTTGCTAAGGGGAAGGTGATTTTCTTCTCTGCTATCAACAGAGGGCTAAAAAGTTTCAGTTCCATACAGAGGAAGCATCAAAAATGGAAACTTGAATCTTCTTTTACCAAGGGACTGCTTATCAGTGTTTGTATTAATCCCCCATTTCTTGAGTTCTCCTGTAGGTAAAGACATCCCATCTTGAAAAGATGTGTGGAGGGACTCCCTCTACTTATGTAAAAATCAGGTTAGATTGTCATGACAGCAGCTCCTGTCCTGAAGTGGTGAGGATAAATGAGCTGTAAGAAAGAAATGACTTGATGAAGGACTCGAAGGACAAACACCTTTTTTCCTCCCTTTCCCCCTCACTTCAAGCAATTTCCCGCTGGTTACCTGAGCCAGCTCTGCGTGCGAGGATGGCAGCGTGGCTCCAGCCTGATCCAGCCTGGTGGGACACAGGGGTGCAGGCAGGGAGCCCCGGGCTCTGCCTGCTCCCACGTTCCTGAACTTTCCATCTGCTCTGTGCCGAGCGGGTTTTCTCACGCTGCCCAGCCCAGGTTGGAGGCTGGGATGTTTATCCACAGCCGTATTTATCCTTCTGTTTATTTTTGTGCATACAGAAAATAATCTGTGTGCTTGTGCGTGCGTATCGGGGGGGGGTGTTGTTATTAGGAATATTTTTTTAGTGTTTGGGATGGTTTTGTGTTTTTATAAGTTCAGAGAAATGCCACTGATAAAAAGGAAAGCTAACTGAAGAAAGGAGCCAAGTACAGAGATTTCCAAACGCTTCTGAAATTCAACAGGAGCAGGACTAATAAACCCACTGCAGCTCTCCTAACTATTTTGTCAAAAATAGTCTTTACAAACACTGCCATTCAAAATGGTTGAATTCAAGAAATGAGTGTTTTGGCTCAGCGTGCAGGAGCTGTTACTCTTTATAGGCTTTAGAGCTTTCCAGAACCCGAAGAGGAGAGAAGGAAATGGCTTGTGATTCTCAAAGAGACACCACGTAGCTCGTTTCTTCCCCAGGGCAGAAGATACTAGGTAGGTTAAATCAGTGTGTTAGGGGGTGGGTTGCTGTAGTCAGTTCCCTGTGTTGCTTCCAAGAGTCATCTCTGGAAAAAGCATGAATGCACTGCAGGGTGAAGCCTGCCAGAGGACAGATCTGCTATCAGGCCGTTTGGGGTTAGTTTTCAGCATTTATTTTGAATAAATTTGAGGGAAGGAAGCGAGTGTAAGATTGAGAATGGCAGGAGGGCAAGAAAAGGGGGAGTTCTGCCTTTATGAACAGCTGTAGAAGCATCTCGAGGCACTTTCTTCATTGCCACAATCTTGAGTTACATCATTGCACAGCAACACACACCAAAAGTCACCCCGTGTTTGCTGGTTTTCACATAAAATCCCCACTGTTTCCTTACTCTTTTAATATTGTTGCACTGCCTAATTGATTCAGATGTGCTGCATAGTGGTGTGAACATTTTTCATGCCATGAGCTGGATGGAAAATGACAGCGTTGATTGTACTAGTTCACTAGAGATGGAGGAGGAGGAGGAGGAGGAGGAAGAAAACTGGGCGTGTTTAATACAATTTAGTTACATTGATAGGGTTCTACTGAATTAATGACCCCTTTTTTTATACCAAAGTATTTCAGACTGAGCGTAGGAGTTGCTTTGTGAAGTGTCACGGAGTTGCAAGGAATACTAAAGCAAATTGAATTTTCCTGTCATAAGAAGGATTTAATAACAAACAATGGCAATGTTAGTAAAGTTCTGTAAAGATGAAGGATTATAACAGCTCGTAATTTTCCAAAACTTTCCAAAAATAACCATTTTTTTTCCCCTTATTTGCTCTCCCGAGGCCCTGACCTTGCAGTCAGCCCTGGGAGCAGCCCTGCTAAATTCTTGCTGACCCTATGCTGTGATTCTGCAGGATGATGCCTTTTCTTTTTCCAGCTTCACCCACTTTGAGTAACATTTCTTGTTCAGGGCTGGGGATAATGAAGGTAAAAAGAGATTTTTCTAGTTCTGGATGCCAAGGAACAACCATTTTACTCAGCTTTGAAGCCTGTGGGACCAAGTGTGTGCCGAGGGGCTGTGGGTGCAGAACATGGGCTGGTGATGGTGGGATGGTGGCTTTGTCATGGGTGGAGGGACCCGGGCTGGAGGTCGAGGAGCTGTAGCCTGCTGTGGTTTCAGGCTGGGGTGGATTCTGCTTTCCCAAACCTGTTTTCAGTTACTGGTTTACAGTAGCCTTTTCCCTTTTGTGCAGAGTTCAAACTGGAGGTAATTTTATTGTATGCAACAGATTGGTGAAATAGTTATACTGTGCAGCACAGTAAGATGTAAAAAGTGCCTTTTCAAAAATACAAAAAATAAAGAAAATATATTTGCTTGGGAAAAAAGAAAGAAGAATAATAGGAGTGATAAGAATCTGAGTTTCTGCGTTGGTTGTGGAAGTGTTCAGGAGCTTAAGTTACTAGTGGGATAAACAGAGAAACTGCAGAATAGCTATTAGGACGTCGAATTTGTTTTTATTGGAGAGGTGACAGACAAAGTACAGTCTGTGTGAGATATTACAGGCAAAGGGGAAGGTTTACAGAGCACGGTTGTCTCTCTGTGAAGAAGGTTGTGAGCGAATGACCCCAGCAGAAGGAACAGAAACCTGCCCTCTGCTAAGGGCTGCGACTGGCTCTGCTTATTTCAGAGGCACTCGAGGACAGTCGATGGCTGTGACAGTCATGTGTCTGGCTGCCACGGGGCGACAAGGATCAGACAAAGGGGGGGGTGATGCCCAGCTGACCCAAATAGAAACCCAGCGGCCGTCCCGTGAGCCTGGGAGCCGGAGGGCGGCGGCGGAACCGCACGGGACAGCAGCCTGGGGTGCCACCACACAACCAGCCCTTTCCAGCGCCCTGGGCTGATGACCTCCACGCTTTTTGGAGCACGTCAGGGCCCTGCCTTGCTGAGTGGGAGATTTCCCACACAGCGGCAATGAAATAGCTCTTCTGAATTCAGGAGGCAGCGTGATTAGTGGCTCCTTCGTAGTCATTGTGCCTGGAAACAAGCCAGAACATCATAACGCAGCGTTTTGGGACAGTAAACCAAGCAATATTCTAAGCAAAATTCAGATCTTTTCTCTTTTGAACAGGTTTTTGACACAGCTCGGCTTGATACAACGTGGTATTTACCAGCCTGGCCTTTAATACTGGATCTGCTTTCCAATTATGCTTCAATTCATACAACAGTTGCAGAGGGCGTGTGTGGGCGTACGTGTGAGAGAGAGAGATTGATTTTGTCCTTTAGAAATGTGAAGTCTCTGCTAACTATGAAAAGCCATCAGAATTTCTAGCACTTAAACACCATTTCCTTTCTCAGTGTGCTACCAGCACTAAGCAATCCTCAGACATCTCCCTGACAAACGGGGAGCTCAAGTGGCAGAACGCATGCTGATTTTTTCAGAAGCAGAGTGTTAACACTGATATCACTAGAAAACAGGCTACAAATCCTTTGCAAATGAAAGAGTTAACATCAGAGTTCATATTGTGACTTGGAAGTCAATGCATAAGTTCTTGGCTCTGCTTTTGAGAAGTACCTGGGTGAAAATGGAATAAAGAAAGAGTATGGCAGTCCTGGCTGTTGCTGTGTGTTAGTCTCTTGTGTCTGGGACAGCAGATGTTGGGCAGCCTGATTGCCACCACTTTACAAAGAGCACCTCTATATTCCTGGTGGTTGTTCCCAACCACACTCATTTTTTTGTGTGCTGTCTGAGCCTTGGCAGTGCTTTGATCATTACTGTGTTTCCTATCTGAGAAGACCCAAGGAGTTTTATTTTTGTCTTTCTGCCGTTCTGACTGTTCACTTTTGTGTGTTGTCTGAGCCTTGGCAGTGCTTTGGTTAGTGTGTTTCCTATCTGAGAAGACCCAAGGAGTTTTATTTTTGTCTTTCTGCCGTTCTGACTGTTCACTTCTTTTTCCTGTAGGGCTGAAGACTTATCTGATCTCTGGTCAGAAGGTGAAGGAGCCCCACTGCAGCTGTTCCCAAGCATTGCTTCCTGGCTTGGAGTCTGGAGATGGAGCCAGGATCCAGGGAGCGTCGTCAGCCGAGAACGCCGGTGACACGTCAAAGACTCTCAAACAGGCAGAAAAGCCAAAGGTGAGCTCTGGTTTCAAAGCCAAGCAGCATAGATCTCAAACTGTGTAACTCAGGCAGAGACGTGTGGGTGGGGAAACCTTGCAGGTTTGTTTGGGCACTGCTTTATCTCTTTGTGTACGTGTACATGTGTATATGTGCACACACAGTGACAAAACCTAGTCTGAGGGATTAAAAACTTCACACAGTAAAATGCTTCATGCAGCTACTGTAACTTCTGTGATTTGCTGCTTTTGCTGCAGCCTGCTTCTGCTGTTCCTCTGTTGTGCAGGTCATGTACCTGTGAACCTTTTCATGAGTAGGTAACAGACATCCCTGCAAAAAGGTAATGGGATTGTTTGTGTGGTGGGAGAAAATGCTCTGGTAGGCTCTGAGACTTTTTTCGTTCTGCTTGCTCTAGAAACCTGTATCTGGAACTGAGGGCAATGCTTTGTGTGGAACCAGTTTAGAGAGGTGATGACATCGTGTTGTGTTCACACCTCTCCCAAGATCTCCTGACAAGGAAATCTGTGAAACAATGTGTATTACTTCAAAGCTTTGCTGTTACTTTCCACCTTCCAGCTCAGAACACACTTCCCAAACAACAGATGTCTATTCTCTATTTTCCATTTGTGCAGAATTCCTTGTCCTGGGTTGTCTGAGCTGGGCACAAACGTCAGAACCATGGGGTGGTCATCTGCAGCTCAGTCTCCTTAGACCTCAGGCTGTTTAGTCCTGAGAGGATCTCTACAACACAGGTTTGAGATGGAGCTGACAGATTTGCTGCCAGGGTGACTTTTTTGCTGCTCCATTTTTGCTGGTTTTAGGTTTGTTTTCTGGCTTAGGAGAGCATGAGTAGAGCACCTTTACCTGCCTCTGTGCCCGGTTTTAAGCTTTGGAGTAAAAACACTGAATCACAACTGAGATCAGCTGGATGGCTGGCCCAAAGTCAAGTCCAACAGGACTGTTTAAGTACAGAAGGCAGCTTTAGGCATCTTTGGCTAAATACACTTTGTGTATGGTTTGACTGCATCCAGTTTGTTGGTGGCACTTTTCTGTTCCTTCTCCTCTGCAAGAAAGAATATATTTGGCATCCCTTGGGCACCAGCTTTCCAGCTCTCTCTTGTCTTTCAGTGGTGCTAGCAACTGAGGGAGGAAGATCTATCTCAGAGAAGCTGGTGGGTGTCTGTGCAGACAAGCTTGTCTGTGCTGCCCCATGTGTGGCCATGCAGAGGTACAGATGTGACAGTGAGCAGCCAGCGTGCAGTGTGGGGAGGTGCTGCTGGCTCATGGTGGGCTCATTGCTGCCTGGTCCCTAGTTTTGTGCTCTGGGACCATCTTGGCTGGGTGTTAATTGCCTTTTAAATGCTGAGAGGTTGTCTGCATGGTGCAGAAGTACAAACGTGGCTGTCTGGATAATTGAAGGAGAAGCTGAAAGAAGCTGCTTTGGAAGAGCATCTGGGAGAAGTGCCAGCTCAGTTTCAGCTGCCTGGGATACTCTATCTACTGTTGTGCTAAAGCTCCTGCATCGAGTTTATGCTTAGAGGTACCTGGTTTTATTCATCACCATCAGCACTGTGAGGCTGCCCTGTGGCTTCTGAAGTGGCCTCACAATTCTTTGAAACTAGCCTTGCCCAAAACACACTGATACTGGAGCGAGTTCTGCCTGACCCCAAGCTCAGGTCAAGGCTGGGTCAGGCTTTCAAGGAATGTTTCATTTGTCAGTACTGCTAGAGTAGGTCTTAGAGTGTTAATAAATATGTGTGTTTTAAAAATCCTCCCCAAGAATGGCTGTGGGATTTCATCGTAGATCATGCAGTTTTTTGAAAAGGAGTGGGTTTCTTTTTTACAGGTTTTTTTTTTTTTTTTGAAAGCCTGCAGCGTGCTGGTGGGGTCTGAAGATAATAATTTGCAAAAGAATCATGACTTACATGCCAACTGTTTTAAATACGAAGCTGTAAACAGTGTCAGTGTAGGAGGAGATGACTCCAGCTCTGCAAAAGAAACTAAGTAGGAGGGGCAAAATTACAGGCAAGTTGAGATATTCTTTGCTTTATAGGGAAGAAGTGGCCATTTTGGGTGCAAAGGATGACTTTCACATTTGGGGCTTGCACGGGTGTTCCAGCAGACTGAATCCAGCAGATTCATTAGGGAGAGTCAGGAAGAAGAACACAGCAGTAATTGATCCATGAAAGGAATTGTATTTCCTCCTCTCCTCCCGTGTGTCTGCAGTTGATTTAATTGCAAACCTCATTGCAATATGGACATCAATAAAACCTGTGTGCATAACTGAAATGGTGAAGACAGAGACTAAAAACTCTGAGTTGAATCTACAAGAGCAGCTGTTTTTCTGAATGAATGCTCTGTAACCTGCTCGAGCAGGCCTGGTATCACTTTATTTTCCCTATCATATTTTATAGAATCCCTTACTTGACAGGGAATCGTAAGCTGTTGTAAAAAGTGTTTTAATCATCTCTTGGCATGAAAACAGAAAGTACTTTCCCTTGTCTTGGTGTTTGCTGAAAGTGTGCTGATGTATTATTCATGGTGGGGAGGTCACGTAGGCACCGAGCTCGTGTGAGTGTCTGCAGCAGGGGATGGGCTTGGTGGTGTTGCTCTGAACACGTGGGGTCAGGCAGATGGGCTTGGGCATCTCCTCCAAAGGTCAGGCTTCTTTTCTGAGGTTTTTGTCTTCTGGTTGAACCCCAGAGTGTGTGAGGTGGTCTGGCTGATTTATTGGCGAGATTAAACAGGGAGTATTTTCAGTATTTTTTTATGAGCAGAATTTGGGTTTTATTACCAATAACTGACTTATGCAATGGATAAATTTACTAACTAACACTCTAGGAGCATAGAAGGCTCATTAGCCCGTTGTCATATTAATTTTTAAAGCCATCTAATATTGCCTTCCATGAAGTGGACAAGGCATTTGTGATATTTAGTCCCAGATTAATTTTAAACAAACCCATTTGAGAACTGACTTTATAATTTCTTCGGGTGTACTGGTATTTTTTCAGACTGTACAGGTTCAGAACTGGATGTAACTTGCTTATCTGATGCCAGGTTGGGAAACTCATGGTAATTTCAGTGCCCCAACCTGGACTGTACCCCCTGAGGAACAGCAGATACGATGGTCTGCTGGCTGCAGAGAAGGCTCAGAGTCTTCCTGGAAGCCTTTGAAAGGCATTGTTGGGTGATAAGGTGCATCAGCAGTCCCAGGAGGAGTGAGCTGGGAGAAGTACCATGCTGTAACCACCTGGAAATTAAACATGCTGCATTATTCCATTTCAAGTGTGACACCAGAGACAAAAAAGGAGCTTTGGATGACAAGCCAGTTCTGAAAAGACTTACACACTGGTCTCTGAAAGTGGGAGTGGATGTGAAGACAGAAGTTGTTGTGCTTTTGGACCAGGAAAATGACTACAGAGGATGGAACGAGACCCTCCTGAGTCCAAAATAAACAGAAAAAATGGCTATGGGGTGTTGAGTTTGGGACAAAAGGCTCAAGTTGGAGAAAAGTGTGAAGAACTTGCAAGACACAGGTCTGGGGTTAATTCCCCTTAAGAAGATCACATTTTAACTCCAAGGGGCTAAGTTGTTTTAGAAGCTAAAGTGCAACATTTTAGGTTGCTTCCAAAATGCATAACCTGCAACTCTTGCAAACCCTGATGGTTTTGTTTGTGTTGTTCCCTTGTTTCCTGTGACATTTGCTGGGTGTTTGGCTTCAACACTGTACAACAGCCTGAGCTCCACTCTGCTATCTTAGAGCACTGTATGGAAAAGTGTTTCCCTTTATGAGTTTCAGATATGTTGTTTTCCATTGCCCTGTACTGTTCATAACACATCGTGTTCTTTTGTGCTTTTTTTTTCTGAGTTTTGCAGCATTTTGTGCTAAGCCTTCCCTCCCGTTGCCATTCAGATCCAGCTGTAGGCAGCTTTCAAACAAGAAAATTGCACTTCTCCCACTAAAAAGAGTGTTTTGTTGTTCTTGTGGAGGTGCTTTGCCAGTATGCAGTGATTGCAGGATACCTGTGATCTCCCACTAGTAAAGCTTTCCTGGATTAGATTTAGCAAAAAAAGAAAAGCCCAAGAGAAAATCAGTGATTTATTTTTGAAACGGTGCATTTATTCCAGTCAGATTTTGCACCCTGCTTCCCATTCTGTAGCTTTGTTTATCTTCCAGCCGTGCTGCCAGTATACAAATGGACCAAATTATAAATTGCATAATACTATGAGGACACCAGAACATTCCTGGCTAAATTTTTTTTGTCTCCTTGCAGCCTTGCCCTTCCTGTAGTAGCACCCTTGCTCCCCACTGCGATGTCAGCGTAGACGAAGGAGCTATCCAAAACGGTTGTCAGGATGAGCATAAAAACAGTACAAAGGTAACTGAGCTATTTACCACTGCCCTTCTTCTCCCTTCTTTCTCTGCTTCAGTTAGTGTTCTCACTTTGGCATTGCTATTCCTTTAAAGCTCTTAAGCAGCAGAACTGCTTTTGCTTCTGAGCAATTGTGGTCTAAAGTTTAGCTGAGTCTCCCCCAAGTTTTCAAAATTATTAGTAATTTTATGGGCCCATTTTGATCCTGACAAGGACCTAAAGTTTGGACTCTTGAAATTATGCTGAGGCTACCCAAAGAGAAGCAAACAAAGGACACTACCATGTTCCCCATCCCTTACACCAGTTGTCTGCCTGCCACCTAGCCACACGTTACATTTGTGTCTTGCCAGTGTCCTCTGCATCGTAGCTCTAAGACACAGTTGTTCCTGTCCACAAGCACAGCTGGAATCACAGAATCCTTCTGGTTGGAAGAGACCTTTAGGATCATAAAGTCCAACTGTTCCCCCAGCACTGCCAGGTCCCCACTGCCCCGTGTCCCTCACACCACATCTCCACGGCTTGGAAACCCCTCCAGGGGTGGGGACTCCACCACTGCCCTGGGCAGCCTGGCACAGCCCTGGGCAACACTCAAGGGGAAGAAATTCACAGCCTTTAAGTCAGCTTGCATCCTTTTTCTCACCAACAAATCCTGCATCTCACATATTCAGCATGCTGCTGCCAAGATTGCTTTCCTTGTCTGTTGCTTAGATATTCTCACTGCAGCCACCTCCTCCTTCTACAGTACCAGACATTGCCTCTTTGTCATCTTGTTTGTGGCCTGTGCAGCCTCTCTGCTCTGCCTGTCACCTATTCCTTCCTCCTGAATATTAAGCTCCTGTCTAAATGCAGACTGGATACCAGAGCTCATCATCTGATTGTTTTATTTTCAAATAAGTTTAATGTTTCTTCTTGTTGGAGGGAATCACTTTATCAATACGCTCAGAGATAGTGAAGATCTTGTGATCTTCACATCTGTTTTTACAACTCTTCTTGCAGATAGAGCTAACTGAAAAACTCGCCAGCACTTGTTTTCCTGATGAGCTACTGCATTGATCTCTGTTTGTCCCTCTACCCCTTGTCTGTGTTTGACCTTTTGTATCTTATGCTTAAATTGTAAGCTCAGAAGCAGGGGCTGCTTTACTGGGCTGAAGTGGTGTGTGACACAGCAGAGCATGTTCTGTGCCAGGGTTCCTATGGATCAGCCTAAGGGAAAAAGAAAAGATAATTCCTTCAGCCCTGAGGGAGATAGAGCAGGGTGTCCAGCAGGTCCCAGTCCCAAAACAGCAGGAGATCTTTAAGACAGAAAACACTGTGGAAGCTCTGCCCAGGCTGCCAGGATGATACTTCATCCCCAGGCTGCTCTGCCCATGTGCCAGGGATCTTCAGAAACCGACTGCAAACAGAGATTTTCCTTGGGTACCAACTGCCTAGTGTCATATGTTGTCTTCATCAGAATTCTCCCTAAGTGTCTTCCCACTGCAGCTCTGTCAGCTTCCTGTGTGTGAGTCAGTAAGTCAGCCAGCCTTGCTTAGGAGAGCTCTGTACAGTGCTGAATAAAATACCTGTAATTTCACTGGAAGAAACATGTTAGTGGAGACCAAATTGCACATCCTCTGATTTGGTTTAGTTATTGCTAAGTCAAAACCAGGAGCAGTTCAGTGGCTCTCCAGTAAGTCTGGGTTGCCTGTTTAACCATGTGCTGAAAGAGCAGCTTCCTGCACAAGTTGTCATGGTGTTTGATTTCCAAACCTTCTTTGCAGGCTCAGCTTTCTTGGGCAGAAGAGCCATAAGGTCCCTCTGCCCATCTCTGGAGCCTGCTCCCTTCCTGTGCCATGATTGCTGGGCCTGGCCCTGCAGCATTTGTGTCCCCCCACTTCAGGGAATGTTCCTGATGTTAACCACATCCTTGGATGTTCGTGGGTCCCAACAGCCTCTGGAGCCTCCCTGTCTGTGGAGAGGAAACTGTCACATGGTGCAACAAACCTCAAAAAACACCCTGTAGAGCTTGTTGCCATCAGAAACCACAGTAACATCGGCGCTAACAACATTTAATAAACAGGGATTTTCTCCTTGCACACAAATAGTTTCACACTTTAATCCACTCCTGTTCAGATTAAGAGTGGAGACAGCACAGGAAAACCTTGAGCTGACTGAAGGGAAGAATTTTCTTAGGGATTTGAGCCTTTGCCAAGGAGCTAAAGAGAAAAGGCCAAGAGAACTCCGTGCTGACCTTCTCTGAAAGAGCAGAAAGTTTTGCTGCGTTTTTCAAATGAACTTGAAGAGCAGACAGGGAGAGCAAACAGTGCAGAGGAGCCACTATCTTTTATTTGAGCTGCTCGTGGCAAAAATTGTGTTCTCTCAGTTGCTGCTTTTCAAGTAGTGACATTTGCTGCAGGGTGGGGAAGAGGAGAAAGATTCTTTACCAGGGAAAACAAAAGAAGTGATAGCTATGACCCTAGTTGTTTTTTAGACCCCAGGTTGCTCTGGGAATTGCTCAAATATAATCTTTAGCATAAATTTTTAAAAAAAAGAAACAAACACAACAATAACCCCAAACCAATGATGTCCCTTCAGTTCTAGCAACTTGTTGAAGAGTTGTCTTTGGTTGGCCTTTGTTAGGAGTCCTCATCTCCAAGCAGTGAGGTTGCCCTGGCACTGCAGTAGGTCTCGTGCCCCATAGCTGTTCCCTCTGGGTAGGACAGAGAACCTGTTACAGGTGCTGGGCTTGCTCTGAAGCTGTTGAATGTTTTCCCTTAGAAAGGAACCTGGTGGCCTTCTACATGAGAAGTTCCTGTGGCTTACCAGGAGAGTGTCCTCCTGTCACAGGCCAGCGCCTCTGCGGTCCAAGGCCTTTTGGTTTGCCTTTGCTGAGACATGTGCTGCTGAAATCACCTTCCTCTGCTGTCAATTGTGCTTGAGCAAAACATTGGCAGCACACCAAGGGAACTACTGAGTTTCCTCTTCTGCTCCATCAGCTGCTGTGGCTGGGCTGTGAACACCTGCAGGCTGCCAAAGCTGAGCAGTGGAGGGGACTGGACTGGGAATCCTTTTGTCTCCTGGCTCCCAGGGTGTGGCTCCAGGGGCTCCCACCTCCATGGGGCAGCCCGCAGGGTGGAGATCCTGCATCCCTCCCAGGCTGGAGGAAGGGGAAGCACAGCCCACCTCCCTCCTGCTCTTCCTGTAGCTCCAGGGAAACCTTCCAACACACCTTAAGCTTTGAGGTCCTGGCAGTGGTAAGGAGCCAAGCCCAAGTGATTTCTGACCCTTCCCTGCAGAAAATGACATTCTCCTGCTGCTCCATTAGTCTTGTAGCTTCACTGGTTTGTTTGTACCTTTCACTCCCTGCCTATATTCACAGAATCCCAGCATGGTGGGGGTTGAAAGAGACTTCTGGAGATCATCTTATCCAACCCCTCTCCTAAAGCAGGGTCACCCACAGCAGGGTGCTGTGGATGATGTGCCCAGGATGGTGGCTAGCCACATTTGGAATCTCTCCAGAGAAGGAAACTACACAATCTCTCTGGGCAACCTGCTCCAGGCTCTGCCACCCTCACCCCAAAGAAGTTTCCAGGTGGCCCCTCCTGGGTTCCAGTTGGTGCCCGTTGCCCCTTGTCCTGTCCCTGGGCACCACTGACCAGAGTCTGGCCCCAGCCTCTTGTTCCCCGGGGCCCTTTAGCTCTTGCTCAGCACTGATCAGATCCCCTCTGAGGCTTCTCTTCTCCAGCTGCACAGCCCCAGGGCTCTCAGCCTGTCCTGCACAGAGATGCTCCAGCCCCTCAGCATCTCCACAGCCTCTGCTGGACTCTCTCCAGTAGCTCCTTGTCCCTCCTGAACTGAGGAGCCCAGAACTGTACCCACTACTCCAGAGGTGGCCTCTCTAGGGCAGAGTAGGGGGGGAGTAGAACCTCCCTCAACCTGCTGGCCACACTTCTGAATACACCTCAGGAGACCATTGGCCTCCTTGGCCACCAGGGCCCATTCCTGGCTCATGGTGATCTTGTCTATCAGGACTTCCAGGTCCTTCTCTGCAGAGTTGCTTTCCAGCAGGTCAACTCCTAACCTGTACTTGTGCATGGAATCATAGAATCATAGACTGTTTTGGGTGGGAAAGGACCTTTAGGGACCACCTACTCCAAGTCACCTGTGGTGAGCAGGGACATCCCCAGCTAGAGCAGGGTGCTCAGAGCCCCTGGGATGGTTCCAGGGATGGGGCAGCGACCACCTCTCTGGGCAGCCTGGGCCAGGGGCTCAGCACTGTCATATCCCTCGTTTGCTTTATGGGATAGATACACAAGGGAGTTGAATTAATTTTGCATGAGCAGCCAGAAACCAGATTGTTCTTAACTTTCAGTTGTTCTTACACTCTAAGTAACATATTTCAGTGCATGGCTGGGGTGGTGATGATATTTATGGTCACTGTGGTGGCATCCAAGAATAGTCTTCTGGAGGAGCTTGTCACTGCTGTGCTGACTGCTGTACAGGCAGGGATGAGGAAACTTCTGTCATGAGTGGGTTTCAGCATGAGGATAAATGATATGTGATGAATGATAAGACATGGAGGGGGGAGATAAGCATTCAAATATGCTAAATTTGGGATATGTTTGCATTTGAAAATGATCCTAACTGCAGTTCATTTTCATTCTTGCTGTACTCTGCTGTCTAATTTTTTTGGAATTGCTTCAGAACAGACTGGTCTAGGTCAAACAAAATGTAAAAGGAGGAATTTCAGGTTCCATGAAAACAATTTTGGGTTAAAAGTAATTTGTGTTCTCAGATGAACGAAAGCAGAATTGGTAATAGTGTGCACCTAGGCCCTGTGGCAAGCTGGTGTCAGAATTTAAAGATGTGGGATTAATTAATACCAAGGGAAAATAAACCCCAAAGAAGTAGTATAGCTAAGTTCAAAATGCAGTTTAATTGGCAGGATGTGGGGTTTTTTTGTGGCATGATGAGATGTACAAAAGGGCGGTTCAGGTCAGTGGAGGGATCGGCAGGGGCTGGCAGAGTAAGTTAGGTCATGACCTCTGGGAAGATAGCACAGTTTAAGTGGGTATTTACAAAGCTTTTTAGAAGTATCTTGACCTTAAGATGAGTGACTGAAATGTGGGCCAGCCCTCAGCTGGCATGCACTCACTGAAGGTGTGAATGGTTGCAAGGCAAGTGGAGCTGGATGTGTGATGTGAGCAGGTGAAAGCTGGGTGTGTTGAGGGAAGAACTTCCAACTTCTGCTCCATGACATCTCTTCTGTTGACTTTCTCAACCACTAATGTTCCCCATGTGTGTTATGCTTTCTGTCATTCAGGCTCCAGGAGGACACAGTCCAAAGACTCAGAATGGACTTTTGAGTCCTCCACAGGAAGAGAAGCTCAGCAACAGTCAAACCTCGCTTTATGAAATGTTGCAAGAGAAAGGAAGATGGGGTGGAGTGAGTCTGGATCAGTCAGCTCTCCTTCCTTTGAGGTTCAAAAATATCAGAGAAAAGACAGATGCTCACTTTGTGGATGTGATTAAAGAAGACAGGTAAGGAAAATGGAGCTGTACACTGTAAAATTGTATAAAGGCAAGAAAGTAGTAACAGGGGTCCCATTTATTTGTGTGCCTTTTGTCTAATGTTGGTGATTATTGTCAACATAGAAGATGATGTATGTTTTCTGATTTTAGTCTATATTCTGCTTAAACTGCAGTAAGAACTTGATGTCAGAAGCTTTCTTCTCAGGAATGTGTAAAACCAGGATTTCCATCATTTCCATGGTGAACAGTCAATTCTTCAGTTGAGTCTTTGGAATTGAAAATGCTCTTTAACTGACTTGTCATGAAGTTCATCTCTTACCTTTACATTAAGAAAGCCTCTTAATGCACACAGTATGTACCTTCCTCTGCAATTAAAAGTGTAACATAAAATCTAAACCACAAAACTCCATTTTTTGTATAGCAAAGAACATCTGATAACATTGTGTGACTAATACCTAGACATCATACTGGGCTTGGAAGGAGAATTAGTAAGAGTGAATTCTCATGGATCTACAACCTACCTACAGCATTTTGTAAAGTTAGCTTCTCACTGTTTCAAACAGAAAGAAGCCTCATTTAGGGCAGAGGAAAATAGTTCTCCAAAATTCAATAGTCTGTGATTTTTGTAAACACACAACCATATCTCCCTTATTATGGCAGTGACCTGATGGGAGCAACTAAACAGATACCTCGAGTTTGTTGTTGTTTCTGGTTATTCTTATTGTTGCTTCACTGCTTCCACTCAGATTAGGGGTATTTTATCTAAATATCCTTGAAACTGTGTGCTCGTATAGACTCCAGGCTGCCTGGAGCAGGGACACTGTCATTCTTAGCTGAAAACATGACCCAAGCAGGGAGAAGGGAGAGGAAGTGACACCAGACCCTCTCCAGTCTCTTCTCTAGATGTTTGTTTGTTTGTTTGTTTGTTTTCTTTTTTATCTCTTACTTTTCTTCTGTGGCCAATTTAGTTTAAAATTTGTGTTCCTGGTTTGGTTTGTTTTCCCCTTTATGTGTTGTCTGTCAATAGTGGCTGAGCATAGGTGTTTAACTGATATTTTCAAATATTAGAAGACAGACAGACTGGGGACATCTCAATGTTGGCAGAAATCAGCAAGAACAATTTGGATTTTTGTTGCAAATGGCACTGGCACACTGCAAGTTGTAAGTTATAGAAGCAGGTTAATTTATGCTGTTGGTCTGCTGAAGATACCTGGCTCAAGCTCTTGTGCTCCTGGTGTTTTCCTCCTCCCTTACAAAACAGATAATTCTTTCTGATTCCAAAAAAGGCAAAAGTAGGACCATGATTTGACATCAGTCAAACCCTATCTTTTTTTTTTTTTTTTATCTCAATTAAATGCCATCATTACCATATTAAGTGGGGCCATTTCTTGTTGCCAGGGAAACTTCTCTGCTGAGTTCAGTTCATGTAAACATAACTTTCCCAAAATAATCTGATTAATTAGGTCTATGCAAAATGGTTTTAGCCTGCAGCTTTACATTAATCCTTTTTAATGTTTTTTAGTGTCAAGTTATATGTAGTAAATAATTTTAAAACAGTCTTGATCCCCTACTGTAAAACATATTATATTCTTGGTCTTGACAAATGTAGTGACTGTGAGGATGTTTGAATGGGAAATTTGAGTTTTCTCAGGGAAAACCCAGATTTTTGGTTTTTACCTTGGAGCCCATACCTCAGCACAGTTCCACTTGTCCTTAAAAGTAATGATGATAAAGCCAGTGTTAGTTTGGCATGTTTGTATTATTGCATTATGCAAGAATCCTTTTCACAGAAGTTATCAGTTTGCCTGTCCTTACAACATGCTTGTGTGTATTTGGCAAACAGTGTGTGGTTTGAGCTTTGAGTCTGGCTTTCCTACAACCACTGTAAAAATACCAGGCTTTGTTCATTGTAATCTGCATGTTACTGGCTATTTGAAAAGAATACTATAGTGTAAGAGAGCAGAATGTTTATACTTCATTTCACTGGGGATATATTCAAAGGATTCTCGCCTTTCAGATTTTGGTTTCCAAGAAAAATTACATATTCCTTAGGTTCTAAAGCTTTTGAAGTACAAGAAATAAGCACTAGTGCATTAATCAGGACAGGGCTTACAAACCATCTCTTCAGATTTACAGAGCTGAGTCCCAGGGCAATATGAAGCTCCCCCAGAAGCTAAGTTCTCTACAGCTCTTCATCCCTCCCTTGGGCCCATGTCCAGTTTAAATACTTTTAAAATGTGTTTGTTCCTTTCATCTCCCACTTGCTGGTCTTGTGTGATCCAGGGAGAACAGAAACCACTTGTGCTGGGGAGGCACAGCCCCTCCTGGGAAGCAGATTATGTGTTCAGTCAACTTGGTCAACAAAATTGGGATCTTTCCCTCTTTGAGACCAACAGCTATGGACGTGGAGCTGGACCAGCAGAGTGCAGCCACCTGACATCAGAAATGCTGCCTGCACCCTCCTTTCATCCTGTCATACCTTCTGGCTTGTGCTGCACTGGCAAACTGGATTGCTCCTCCTTCATCCTTAGACCACTGCAGCTCCAGCACAACATCACCATACTCTCTGGAGCTTCCCTAGAGGAAGACTCTGAAATCAACAGTACTTAAAAAAAGAATAAAAATCTTGCCAAATTAATATTACAAGATGTTCTCAGGAACATCTCAAGAGAGGTGAGGGAGGGAAGACAAGGAAGAATGAAAGGGAGAAGGGGCACTCAAGTGAATGTGTCCTGTTGTTTCTCCAGTGTATGCTGAATATTTTTAATATAGCAGCCAAGTCTAGGAATAGGTGTTTGGCTGGTCTTGAATCTCAAGTCAAAAATGCTTCCCATGGGCCATCTTGTGCTGGGGAGCTTGTACTTGCAAAAAAAACTCTTGGCCTAGTGTTCATAAAAAATAAACAGAAAAAAAAACCCCAACCAAACAAAACAAACTCCCTGAAGAAAACAATAATTAAGGCAATTGAAAAGTAGCCCCTTCTAATTGTTGCTCTGGTGCCATGTTTTTTGAGGTGGGGTAGCACTTGGGAAGAAGCTGCCCCATTTCAGATTCTGCAGCAATTGTGTCACCAGTGACTTCACTGGAAACGAGTGGGATTGGTTGCTTGAAAAGGGAAGGAGGTTTGTAGTAGGAGTGTTTGCTGAAGCCCCAGATGTGGACTGCACAGCAGAGAGAGCAGTGAGCTGTCCCACACACCCAGTGCTCTCTACATCAAGTCCTCTCAGCTCTTTGACACCTACTTGAGAACTGAAAGGGTTGCAGATCAGGTGCCAGTAATGTCATTAGAAAACTTCCTCCTTAAACCTCTTAAAACTGATGTAAAACTCAAAAAATGTTCTATTTTTGCTCCAAAGCTGGGGAATGGAAACAACTTTCTAACGACTGAGACCTCTTTTATGTTTTTATTCCTGCACCTGATGCTGGAAGAGAAGGTGAAGGAGGCACAAACACCCTCTGGTAGCTGCTGCCTCCTGGTTCGTTAGCAAGTGAGCTAGTTTCTTTATTTGTCAGGGCCTTTGTGGATGATTCTGGTGATTTCAAATCTTGTTTCAGAAGTAAATGTAAGCTATCCCTCTCTTCAGGTTCCATTCTCTGTGGCCTGCAGTGTTAGGGGAATATTCCCAGCTGGGTTACTGAGTTATTTTAGGGTCTTTGAAATCCTGAGAAAGTGCTGTTTTCTAAAGGGACTTTTTTTTTTTTTTCCTCTAACAGTTTGTCACCTTTGTCATGCTTGGCTTGCTTTGAAGGATAGAATTCCACCTCAGACACAAATATCCCACAGCCACATATCTCCAAAGGTTGTGACTCTGTAGCAGCAATTAACCTTTACTATTTGCTGGCTTATAGAACAGTTATCTATAGTTACCAGCAGTTGTAGCTGTTATGTTTCTGGAAAGACTTTTAAGTCTTTTATTTAAGAAATATTACATTTACTCTGTCCTTTTTTTTGTGAAGTATTTCCTTTGACTGAACAAGTGATCTGGGTAAGGCTATACCTCAGTGACTGGGAGCAAAAAAAAAGCTACAGGAACTTCAAAGCCATGTACCTAGAAACAGAAACCACAGAATGGGGGGGCTCTGAAGGGTTTTCAGCTCAGTAAACTGATGTTGATCTCTTCTCCTCTCTTCAGCCTCATGAAAGATTACTTCTTCAAGCCACCTATTAACAAGCTGAGCCTGAACTTCTTGGATCAGGATTTGGAGATGGCCTACAGGACGAGCTATCAGGAAGAGGTGTGTTTCTCCTGGCACTGATTTCCTTCTGTAATCTGTCTAAGCAACTGTCTGTCCTTGTTTTTAAGATGTTTCTATTGCTGTTGATGGCAAGGGTCATGGAATGTCCCATGTGATTTACTACCTGGTATTGCTGCCACTGGAAACAGTCTCCTTTTGGTTTACCTGCTGTGTGCCATGTCCTGAATCTAGTCTGATGTTTAGGCCGAAAATACATTTTTACAGTCTACCAAAATACACTAATTACTTCTCACCTGCCTTTTCTCCATTTTCAGGTTAATGTTTTAAGGCTTTAGGCAGGCCAGGGAACCATGCTGAGGTGTCAGTAAAGGAACAAATGCTACTCCTTTTCTCATAAAATATCCAGACTTTTGAGAATGATAACTTTGAATCTGATTCTTGTTCATGTCACAGCCTCATGCTTGTCCCTGTGGAACCAAAACCTGCTCTGGACTCAGATGTCCTGAGTTCTGTAAGTGTGCTGCATTCAGAAACAAGTGATTCCAAGCACTGTGTAACAGGGAAGGAACAGTGAGTAAATTGTAAGGAATTTGGTGCCTACTTGAGGATTCTGCACCGAGTGTAAAAAGTCCTTAATCCCCTTGAGGGCTGATAGTATTACAGGCTTTCCACATCAGGAGATATCCCTGCCTGGCTGATAGGAACTAGCAAGATGTTTTGAGTTTAGATAGAGTGGCATTAGGTGTCAGTACTAGCTGAGGCTGCGTTTCCATCAGTAGCTGAAAAGTTGCTGCCAAAAGAGGGCAATTGCTCTCCCCTCCTTCTCCTCCCTGCTCCTAATGGCTCTGGTGCTTATCAGGCTTCCCCGCAGAGTCAGTTCATTTTTCAAGCCTTGCATAAAATATTCATGTTTTGTTTTTCTGTTTGGGGCTTTTTCTTCTTCTGCCCAGGTCTGTTTTCTGCTGCATTGAACCAGCAGCTCACAGAGGGGCTGGCAGGCAGCAGAGCCAGTGTGAGAGAACTGTCCAGCAGCAGGAAGGGGAACGTTCCCTCCCAGTAGCATCGAGCTCTGAGTTTGGGTCATCCATCTGGCAAAATCACATCGTGATAAATGTGGCTGTTGAGTTGTTTCCCAGTGTGTCCTGCATTAAGGGCAGGTCGGATTTCTGCTTCTGCTGCTTGTTGTTTTCTGCTCCTGGGCTGCTCTCTGGGCAGCATTGTCACATTGTCCTCAGCAATAGTCCCTAGCTGCTTGTTTCCCACTGCTGGCAAATGAGACCTAACCTACCTTTTTTTTTTTAAAAACAAAAGGAATCACAGTTGTGTTGCAGTTCAGTTTGTTCACTTTATTCTGGAGCTCCACACTCATCCTGCACTGTATTCCCATGGTGCAGCTCTGAGTAAAGCTCGTGTAGCAACAACAGGGAGAAATTTCTCATGGGTATAGTCTGCAAAATTTGCAGAAACTATACAGAAAATTGTAAATCAAATTCTTTCCAGTGGAAAGATTGGAGAAAGAAATGAAGCAGTGATAGTCAAACATCTCCAGATTGCCCTATTGTTGTGGGTATGTAGGAGATACATAGGAGGAGCTGGAATGTGACCTGTGCCTTTTGTTAGTGGCAAGCTATTAATTTGAAAATGACTATATAAACCTCCCTGGAAATTGGAGTCTTCACTCTGTAATTGTAACTGCAGCACTGGGACAAAACCTGTTAAAGCCTTAATATTAGCATAGTGCTGGTCCAAAACAACAACAAAAATAATCTTCTCTTGGGAGAGCGAAGTGATTTGTGAGCACTGCTGGTTATTTAATTGCCTCGGAGTGAACTGTTGCTGGAAGTTAAGTTCCACCACTGCTGAATTCAGCTCTAATTGCTCAGTGCCAGCTGCAGGCTCGGTGTGTGAGCACTCTCTGTGAGCAGCTCTGCTTCCCAAGAGCTCACTTAGCCTGCTCTTCTTTGGAAATTAAGGCACTACTTAACACTCTCAGGGCATCGCTGCTGCTGTCACCTTGGGATACAGCTCTGCTTTCCTTAATTCAATCCTTGGGACCTTCTGTGGGGGCTAACAGGATTTTGCCACAAATAACTGGCACTGAATGATGCTAACTGAATATATGAGTGTACAGAGAGGTACAAATGAGGAACAAGTTCATTTCCCAGTACTGCAGAGTGCCATGCTCTAAGGAGCAGAAGCAATTCCAAATTAAACCAGAGTATAAGACCGTAGTGTTCAAACTGGGCTACTCCATGGCAGTATGGGTGACATACTTCTTGTTTTTCCTCGGCACTTGCTCTCTGTGGTCCCTTGGGCAGATAAAACACTCGTAAAGCTGGACTCATCTGAGTAAGCTGGGATGTGGAGCTCATGATCTAGTTTTCAGCTGGACTGGCCCAAGCAGCACGCAGCACAGCTGCACGGGCGCCGGGGCCAGGACGGGCTGGGCTGGGACTGTGTGGTGAGGTGTTACAGGAGGAGAGAACTTGGTGTCCTGGGCTCTCATCAGTTCAGATTACGTAGCGTTCCCCTCGCTGCTTTTCATCCAGCCTGAAAGGGAGCTCTGAACTCTGCCACAGGCAAATGGCCATTCCTATGGCGGGGTGTTCCGAGGGTTTTCTTAAAGAACCATCAGAGCTAAAAGGCTTGTTATAAAATCCACTGTGACTATAAATAAAAATCCTTGAAGAAAACCTCTTACGGCTTTATCTGCTCGTAGTTATGGGGTTTCTGTTTCTTTGCATGGAATAGGCAATTTTCATCTGGCTTATTTCTGTAGCATAATATTCTGTGAAATCACCCCAGAGCTGGGGGCTGTGCTGCTGCTGCCTTTTTACAGCACAGAGTTACTCTTGGGGAATGGGGACAGCCATGGAACTACCTCTTCTGTTTCTTGTTTCAAAACAGTTTTTACATTGGACTAATGAAGTGGCAAAAAGTTCTGTGTTCCTGTTCTTGGTTTTGTGACCTGCTCTTCATGGTAAAGCTGAATTCAGCAAAACTGCATTTATTAATATCCACCCCCTCCCTGAATCCACACAGGTTATAAAGAATGCTCCAGTGAAGACGTTTGCCAGTGCTACCTTCAGCTCGCTCCTGGACGTGTTCCTCTCCACCACAGTCTTCCTCATCCTCTCTATCACATGTTTCCTGAAGCACGGGATGGTGGCGTCCCCTCCACCGCCTGCAGCAGTCGTGGTGTTCATCATTGCCATCCTGCTCGAGGTGCTGTCCCTTGTCATCTCAATTAGGTAAATACAGCATAAGAATGTCTCAAAATAGTAGCAAGAACTGAAATGGTGGTTGGCTTGAGAACATTTTGTTTGACAGCATCCCAGGAGCTCACTTGGATGGGCTGTAATACTTGGAGAACAGCGTTAGTGAAGCCAGGAAGGCTTGAGGCAAATATTCTGCAAAGAGAGGTCTAGCTACAGGGGGAGGAAGGTGGCTCTTCCATGAGAGAGGCTGCTTAAGGAAAGGAGGGCAGGCATGGTGTGCAGGATCTGTTATTGTTCCTTGGGATGCCTCTCATGAACTGGGGAGCCCAGAACTGGAATGGAGTACTCCCAAGGTGACCTCACTAGAGCAGAGCATGAGGAGAACCTCCCTCAGCCTGCTGTCCACACTTCTTCATGCACCTTAATGCATCTTCTAGGTGATGGCAACTCCTCGCTCCTGACCTGTACTCAGTCACCCAAAGGATGTGTTCTGGACTTCCAGGACACTTGCAGGCCTTGCCCAGACATCTGTAACTGGTTGGTGAGCAGTTACTACACGGTTCCTGCTCAACATGGGGTTTCCCCCAGGCACACTGGTGTTACTAACACATTGGAGCACAGCAGTTGTACCTGCATTCAGTACAGTACTCATGCTGTCCTGGGTGTGTTGTCTGATTTATACAGATACCAGGTGTAACCTGTTATTAACCCAGATGACAGACCTAATGATAAGTTGTTTGTTTGTCTGTACTTGTGAGAGCAAGTTTCTTCTGCCCTCCTCCTGCCCTGTTTCCACTGTGCTTCCTTCTGACACGGGAGCCTGTTGGGAGGGTGGCATGTGGAAACGTGTGTCCTTGCTTATTGTTCTGTCAGCTATGTGGAAGTTGAAAAGCTTTTGCAATTACAAGTTAGAAGCAATTCTGCTGCTGTTTCGAAAGGAACAAGGCACTGCAGTTTGCACTTTTATTTTGACTTTTCAGAGTCAAGGTAAAAAACACCTAATTAGTACTTTAGTCACTGGAGCAAGCTTGTAACTCAGTGTGTGTCTAAAGGTATGCGGGTGTATTGGTGTGAAGGCTGGCATGTAGGAGTAGAGAGAGGGCATTTATGAACAGTGGAAATGCTTTTAAGGATAGTATTTCTCAGCAGGTATATTTGATAGTTGCAATTTGAATAGGATTGTAGTTGTGGAGTTTTTAGAAAATCTAGAAAGTGGTAAGATCTAAACTGGGAAGGTGGTTGGACTGGTAGGACTGTCATTCTAGCACATCCTGAACTGGATTAACTGTTGCTCTGCCCTCTCTCTTGCACCAGACATGCTTTTTCCCTTCTGCAGAGCAGTTTCTGTGCTCTGTCTGGGGTGGGAGGAAGATTTTTGTCAGTTTAATGTGCCCGAGCAGCTCTTTGGTTGCAGCAGGCAGGAGTGTAGGAAGGCAG